ATATTACCCTCACGTCTTCCTTAAGTGATGTCTTAATGACCAATTTACCCTATGTAGGTTATTATATTTAATGACAAATGCTGATGTATTTGTTATCTACATTCTTAGGATCTATTTCTTTATTTTGTTTATATAATTTTGGACGTCAACGGTAAATGTAAAATTCTTGTAACTATAACAAACAAACAAGTCTCATGTGAGAACCAATTATATAGACAAACAAATTATATAGTAATAAAATGCACAAAAATTTTTCTCGAAACATTCTAAGTAAGTCATATTTTGGATTTATAAAATTTTAATGCATAATATACAGTCTGCCAACACACATTAACGCAGTGGAGCGAATCCCGCCCTGCCCAAAACTCATTCATGATTGAATGGAGCTCTGTTACAGGTCTCATTGCAGTAAACAGTGCGTACCGTACTGTTTACTGCAAAGTACGTACAGTACTAATTACTGCAATGATTAGGCCACAAAAGTACAAACAGAAACATACATGCGTATACAGGAGGACGTCGGATTAATTCTATACCATAAACTGCTGAAATTTGGCCAACTACATTCAACTTTTCCTATTTGACAAAAGCTAAATAAGTTCAAGTAGCTATTAAAACATCAACATTTTTCAATTTTCTATGATGTAGTAAATATTATCAGTATTGTGGCAGAATAATTTCATATTTTGTTACGAAGAGTAGGATAGAATCCCCAGAGGCATTAATTTCTCCCTTTATAATCCTTTTTATTAAGCTGTTCATAAACATAAGGAGCAAATAACAAAATAAACAATAAAAAGCAAACAACCAAATAAATATATAGCACTTAATTATTCCTGCCAATTTACTGTAAACGGTTACGGGAGCAGTGTGTAAAAGTTTAGGGGGTAAAGAGAGGAACAGAGCGAGAGTGTAAATTACAGAAACTTTTTATTTTTCTGTAGAAAATCAAGGTAATATTATGTTCCTTAATATCATTTTTATTGTAATTTTTTACAAATAACTACACGTTTTCTTATTATTAATAGAATCATTGTAAAGGTATTTAGCAGTTATACACAGGACTATTTATTTAAGTAATTTTTATACACCTATTATGTATAGGGTCAATAAACTGCCCTAAAGAAATAAAAAAATCTACGTGAGAAAAAGTAAGAAGGTCGAGTGAACGACCGCGATGTTGCCACTTTTAAACCTAAGTGCAAATTACGTTATACAAGTTAATTCGCGTAAATTTGTTTTTTTTTTTTGCTTGAAAGTATTTTTTTTATTTTGATGCAAGAACGAAATTTACTTTTTTTAAACACTTTATCAAACTTTAATAGTTTGATAAGGTATTTTAAACTAAGTCCACCACTCATAAGTACATTTCACCAAACACTCAAAACAAGTTATAGGCAGCAGCATCTTTTTAATAACAACTGAAAGTGATAAAAACTACGGTGTTTTAGCAAACCATCTGTCAGGCATGGCAACTATAGCACAATCTATTGTGCAGGCCTACATACAGCTGTGGATGTTTTGATAGGCTGTAATGATAATGATTATAATGTTATGGTTAATGATATAATGGTTATTGATAGAAATAATTATCTACTACTATGCTTAAAATCGTGTAACTTTGCTCAGTTTAAACGACACTGCATTTTTTTATATTAAAATATTATTTGTATATATTTAATCATCTATATGCATTTAGTAACAACAACATGGAGTTGTTTTTAGCTGTTGGTGCCAGCGTGCATCGTAAAAAATTCATTCTCACAATTTTTTCAATCGCCCCAAAAGAAGTTTAACTTCAAAAAGAAAAAAATAATGCTAGATGTAGAGGTAAGCATGAATAAAATAATAGCTGAATTACAATGCAGAAGATTAAGGAATCCCGGGCTCAACTTCTTTTCTTTAATGAGTAGGCCTTTGCTAAAGCTAAATTTCAGGTTTTTCGAATCGTAACCCTGATTGCATGAGATTAAGCAAAGCAGTCACGCTGCGCATCACAGACTTAGGGCGAAATATATATTATAAGGGCCACTATTTTGACTGGAGCAGCAAAGAGAGCGTTTTGATTCCCCGCATTCCAGTAATTCCAAATAATTTACAAATCCAATTTAAAAGCCTACAATTTCTCCTGAAATTAGAATTTATTATGGTAATTAAGAAGACCCTTGGTCAGACTATAAAATTGATGGGTATTCATTTGGGCACTCTCTGCTTCTCACATGATCAGCTGTTTGTTGGGCATTGCAGAGTACGGAGCGCTCAAAAAAGAACTTGCTCGCAAAAACATAAAAATCAAACAACTTTTTATTTTTTTTTTTTTTTTTATGGTTTACATATTAATAAATATTACTTTAAATCCTCTTATTTATTGCTTATTTATATTAATCCTCTTATAAAAATTGCGTCCTTACATCAGCCAGGATTGCGGCCAGATTTATTTTACTCTTTTATAGGTAAAGCGCTTCATTGATGAACTAATGCTAAGTAAGCAACCTACTTTAGCTATTAACGGTATTCATGTCATATAGTAATAAGCAATTTGGAGTCCAAGCAAAAGGAGACGTAGAAAGAACTTTCTAGAAATATTGAAGGTAAGTGCTGTAGCAACAAAAATATTATAATTTCTATCTACTACACAAATGAAGTCGCGAGGAAAAGCTAGTAAATACGAGTACAAATAAATAAAATTGAGGTATCTATCTGTAATAAGAAATAACTGATTTCCATTAAGCCCAAGCGGTTATCTGCATGTTATTTAGACATAAATAACCACTTTTAAAAAATTTCTGTTTGTCTTTCTGTGCGGGCTAATCTTCGGAATAACTGAACCGATTGTATGAAATCTGTCAATTACTTTGTTTACAATATTTAGTTTATTTTAATTTTACTAGATGTCGTTTTGTCCATAGCTTGTGTTATTTATATCGCGTTGTAAAGATTTGTTTCAAATAGTACATAAGGTTTCTTTACATAATACACGATGCTTATTGACTCCTACTGCTAATTGATAGTTGAGTTTCATTTCATGAACCCTATCTCCTAGTGGCTATTTTTTGGGATCTGTACATGGTCCTTCGATGTCGGATAGTGAGACATCAGTGGAGGTTGTGTCTGTATCCATAGCTGTGCCGACACGGTGGCCGATTGACGTCAATAGTGCTCTGTGATCATTGTGCTAAGGTGATTGCGCTTGTAGTGGTGAAGTATAGTGTAAAAAAAAGGTGAACGCGTTACCAAGCGACTTGTGAGTGCGCAGAAGCAAATTATTGTAGTGAGTCAGTGTCTTCCGCTGTGCAACCACGCTGCGCTGTTAATGCGTGGTGTCTGAATTGGGAGCAGTAGCCAGTGGACGGGATCTTCATCGACACGTGACTCAGTGTCTTCCGCTGTGCAACCACACTGCGCTGTTAGTGCGTGGTGTCTGAATTGGGAGCAGTTGCCAGTGGACGGGATCTTCATCGACACGCGACGCATATGGATACATTTCGACGACAAGGTGATAAATGAAGTGTTTCGTGATTCTAGTACTTTATATTTAGTAAAAATTGTTGGTAATTTTCTAAGTTAATTCATGTGTGTAGACTTCGAAAATGTTGTAGACTAAGAATGTTATTCTAGTATTAGACTTATTATAATAGAATAATTCTCCAAAAGGTGATGTGACGGGGAACCTATACCCAATTTCATAGCGAGGTACAATTTGTTCAAATACATAGAAATTTTTGAATAAATATCTATTATAAGACTTAGAAAAATTTGCGTATTGATTTGAAGTTGTCAAATTTAAATTTTATTGTTTTTAAAATACTTTTTAAAATAAAAGAATAATGGATATGTCAGCGTATGAATGTCTACAAATAGAAACTAGTTCTTTAATTGAAAAGGCTTATGTCAATTTTAAGAAAACTTCAAAGGATCGTATTACAGTTTTTTATATAGAAAGTAAATTAGAAAATTTAGAGGTTCAGTGGAATTCATTTTGTGAAACTCATCGTACAATAATATTAAAGGTATTAAAGGAAGATTTAACTAAGTCTGAATATTACAAAAAGAAAGTTTACGACAAAACTGAAGAATGTTATATAGATTATAAGTCAATATTAAAACAAAAATTGTGTGAATGCGCTGACAAAAATCCTAAATCTACTTCTTCCGACGATAAAGTATCATCGAAAGTTTCAAGTTTTTCAGGGGTTAGATTACCTAAAATTACTATACCTATTTTTAACGGGAATTATTCAGATTGGACTTCTTTTAAAGATTTATTTGTATGTTTAGTAGATAACTGTGAAACTCTTGATGACGTCCAGAAGTTACATTACCTTAAGAGTCATCTATCGGGAGAAGCTGAACAAATTGTACGTCACATTCCTATTACAGGTAAGAATTATTCAGTTTGCTGGACTCAACTAAAAAGTAGATATGATAATAAAAAATATCTTTCAAACCACATATTAAAACGGTTATTGAATCATAAAATTATTCAATTTGAATCTTCAAATGCGATCAAGGAACTATTAGACACTATAATAGAATGTTTAAACGGCTTGCAGAATTTAGGTATAGATATTAGCACTTGGGATATAATTATTATTTACGTAATGAGCCAGAAACTTGATCATGAGTCCAGAAAACAATGGGAAGCTAAGTCAAGTGAATTAACTTCTGAGTTGCCTAAGTTGTCTGATTTTAAAGATTTTTTGGAACATAGGTTTCGATCATTGGAATTTTTAGATACTAAACCTAAAACGAGGCAATGTAAGGCAACAGTGTGTTATGCCAATGATAGTACGTCTAATAACAATAATTTATGTTGTTCATTTTGTAAAGGCAATCACAAATTATGCAATTGCAAGTTATTTTCTAAGGAAACTATAGAATCGCGACGGGACTATGCTCAAGCCAGGAGGTTATGCTATAATTGTTTAGGAGATAATCATTCTGTTTTTAATTGTAGACACTCTTCACGATGTCAAATTTGTAAGAGGAAGCATCATTCGTTGCTTCATCCTGTAAATAATCCCACGAATCGCAAGGAGAATACGGATGCAGTTGGTATAAATGTTGCTGTTAATTCAACAACTGCCATTCATGAAAATCAGAAGGAGTCAGAGCCAGAGTCAGTAGTCACATGTTTTTTAAGTAATTATAGTCAAGTGTTGTTAGCAACGGCATTAGTGAAAGCTGAATCACTTAAAGGTGTTGAGATGACAATGCGATGTTTGTTGGATCAAGGGTCACAAGCTTCGTTTATTACGGAGTCAGCAGTTCAAGCACTTGGACTGCAGAAGGTTCCAACAAAACTCGTAGTTTCAGGAATAGGGGGTGAACACAGTTCTTTGCTTAAGTCAAGGTTTGTGGTGTTTATTAGGTTGCGTTCACTCCACGATCCCACATTTTATGTAGAAGCAAAGGTACACGTCCTCAACAAACTTACAACACTTCAGCCCTTTAAGAAAGTTGTAGTTAAGATGTGGCCTGAAATAGGCAAACTTAAACTGGCAGATCCAAAATTTGGTGTGCCTAATAAAATTGATCTCTTACTTGGTGCAGAGTTATTTGCTCAGATTTTAGAAGATGGTGTAATCAAAGGTCCTTCTGGATTACTTGTAGCACAGAATACTAGACTGGGGTGGATCTTATCTGGTCAAATTAACTCAACATGTATAGATAGTTTTGAGTCAAATAAATGTAACACCATCTTAAACTTTCATTTGCAAGTTGATGAAAATGAATTATTGAAGAAGTTTTGGGAATTAGAAGCAGAACCAACTGCTAGTACCTGTAAAATAATTTTCACTGAAGAGGAGCAAAAATGTGAAACTATTTTTGCTAATACTACAACCCGAAATGATTCAGGTAGATATATTGTAAAGCTTCCTTTTCGTGATAAGGATCCGAAGTGCCAGTATGGCAATTCCAGACACATTGCTTTGCGACGACTTCACCTTTTAGAAAAAAGATTGGCAAGGAATTCAGATTTAAAAGAAAGATATTCTGCCGTTATTCGTGAATACATTGATCTTAACCATATGGAAATCGTACCAGAGGAAGAAAGGGACAATCCTTGTGCGGTTTATTTGCCTCACCATGCCATCATTCGTGAGGATAAGTCTACAACAAAGCTTAGAGTTGTTTTCGACGCTTCATGTCCTGGTACCAACGGGATTTCTCTTAATCACGATCTTATGGTTGGCCCTGTTCTTCAGCCCGAGTTACGACATTTAGTTATGCGTTGGCGCGTACGACCCATATGCTTAATAGCAGACATAGTTAAAATGTACAGACAAATAGAGGTTTCCAAAAGTGACAAAGATTTTCAGCGTATTTTATGGCATGACGAAGAAGGTGAGTTACGCCATTATAGGCTACTACGTGTTACTTTTGGAACTGCATCAGCACCTTATCTTGCTGTACGTACTCTTCAGCAGTTAGCTTATGATGAGGGTAAAGATATGATTTCAGCAGCTGAAAGAGTACTCCAAGACTTCTATATGGATGACCTGATGAGTGGTTGTGAAACAGTTGAAGAAGGTGTACAAGTGTACAAAGACCTTAATAAAATGATGCAAAAGGGAGGTTTTCAACTTCAAAAATGGGGAAGTAATAGTAGAGAATTATTAGAAAAAACTGGAGAAGTGGTTAAAAGTCAAAGTGGAAACATAGAACTAAATGTTGGAAAAGAAAATGAAAGTTTCACGAAGGTTTTAGGATTATATTGGAATAATGTAACTGACAATTTTGAGTATCGTGTTCAGTTACCACAAATAACAACTCCTGTTACAAAGAGAAAGGTTGTTTCAGATATTTCTAGGTTATTCGATCCATTAGGATGGATAGCACCAGTAGTAATTACTGCCAAAATCTTCATTCAGAAGATTTGGATGTCAGGTATTGAGTGGGATCAAGAATTACCTTCTAATTTGTTACAGGAGTGGCTTTATTTTAGGAGTAAACTTTCATTCATTACAGGCTTTAGTATTCCTAGATGGATATTCACCAATACGAAAGAACTTTTAGAACTACATGGGTTTTGCGATGCATCTAACCAAGCATACGCCGGAGTAGTATTCGCTCGAGTTGTAAAAGAAAACGGCGAAGTTCATGTAAGTTTGATAGCATCAAAAACTAAAGTGTCGCCAGTCAAACAAGTCTCCATTCCACGTTTAGAATTGTGTGGAGCTGTTTTGCTTTCTAAGCTGTTATATGAAGTAGCAAAGACTCTCTGCTTACCACTCAATAGAGTACGAGCTTGGACGGACTCAACAGTGGTGCTTGCTTGGTTGAGCAGTCACCCGAGCAGATGGAAGCCTTTTGTGGGTAATAGAGTATCTGAGATTGTCACACATTTCGGTCGTAATCAGTGGTCTCATGTGAAATCTCAAGATAACCCCGCTGATTGTGCTTCTAGGGGTGTGAGTCCGGAAGTTTTAGAAACTTTATATTTATGGAAACAAGGACCTGATTGGCTGCATCAGAAAATATTAAAACAGAACTCTGTTTGCAATAAAAATGTCCAGGAATGGGATACTAATTTAGAACAAAGATCGAAATTATGCTGCGTTGAAGTATTACATTTGAAAGAGGATTATATTATTAATCGATTTTCATCCTTACGGAAACTTATACGAGTGGTTGCTTGGTGTAGAAGATTTTTCCTTTATCGGAATACTATAAAACCTCGTTGGTTGACATCAAAGGAGTTGCAAGAAGCTTTAAATATTTGTATTAAAAAATGTCAAAAACAATATTTTAATGATCGTATTACCGATAAGAAAGGAAAGTTTTCTTCCCTTAATCCTTATAAGGATGACAATGGACTTTGGCGAGTTAGCGGTAGACTGCAATTGGCTCAAATTGAAATAGAACGAAAGCATCCTATTTTAATTCCCCGTGCTTCTAACTTGGCTACACTAATAGTTGCAAATGCACATGAGAAAACCTTACATGGGGGCCCACAATTAATGATTAACTTCATTCGGTCAAGATACTGGATTATTAATTTAAAAAACTTAGTAAAATCTTATATACACAAATGTATTACTTGCTTGCGCTATACATCTAGAGCTAATAATCCAATCATGGGCCAGTTACCTGCTGCCAGAGTGAGAGCAAGTAGACCATTTAGTCATAGCGGAGTAGATTACGCTGGTCCAGTTGCAATAAAAATAGGAAAAGGCAGAGGATATCGGTCTACAAAGGGATATATATGTCTCTTTATTTGCATGGCAACTAGAGCTGTGCACCTCGAATTAGTAAGTGATCTTACTTCTGAAGCTTTCATTGCAGCGTTTAAACGGTTTGTCTCCAGACGTGGACATTGTTCCGATTTATGGAGTGACAACGCTACTACATTCGTAGGTGCGGATCGAATATTACAAGTCCTCCTAACAGAAGAAAGGTCCAGTGTGGCTGTTGATATTGCTGATTGGCTCGCTAATAATGGAACTTACTGGCACAGAATTCCACCCTATAGTCCTAATTTTGGAGGTCTATGGGAAGCAGGTATTAAGTCTACAAAAAGCCACCTCAAAAGAGTGATAGGCAACTCTTTGTTGACATTTGAAGAATTTAGTACAGTGTTGTCTCAAATCGAGGCTTGTCTGAACTCGAGGCCAATATCAAGAATAAATAATAACATGGATGATCCATTCCCTCTCACACCGGGACATTTCTTGGTTGGGGAACCATTGGTTCTCGTTCCAGATGAAAATTATTTAACTTCTAATATAAATTCGCTTAAACGTTGGCAGATCACCCAACGTATGGTGCAAACTTTTTGGAAGCGATGGTCTCGTGAATATCTCACACAATTTTTACAACGCCATAAGTGGAAAGGGCATACTCCTGACCCAAAAATCGGAGATGTTGTACTGGTGAAGGAGGACGATCTTCCTCCGGCTAGGTGGCTCTATGGGATAATTATAGCAAAACATCCTGGTTTTGATGGAGTTACCCGTGTGGTGTCTTTACGATGCAAAGGTGTTACTATTAAAAGACCAGTATCAAAAATTTGTGTTTTGCCTATTACTGAATGAATATAAGTATTCTTAAGATGTTTGTCTGTTATTATTACTGAATGAATATAAGTATTCTTAAGATGTTTGTCTGTTATTATTTACATGGCAACAATGCATTATTCTAAGTAATTTTTTTTTGTGTTATATTGGAATAAAATATTCAAGGATTGTAAATTTTAGTAGTACTTATGTTTTTATTGTTATGAAATATGTACTTTAACATACTATTAACAGCTGTATGTTATAACTTTTATTGATTTTTTATTCATAGTACATATGTGTCGTGTGGTTATGTATAGTTTATGGACAATCTGTCCATGGCGGGCGGGATGTATGAAATCTGTCAATTACTTTGTTTACAATATTTAGTTTATTTTAATTTTACTAGATGTCGTTTTGTCCATAGCTTGTGTTATTTATATCGCGTTGTAAAGATTTGTTTCAAATAGTACATAAGGTTTCTTTACATAATACACGATGCTTATTGACTCCTACTGCTAATTGATAGTTGAGTTTCATTTCATGAACCCTATCTCCTAGTGGCTATTTTTTGGGATCTGTACACCGATTGTAAGAAAACTTTACGAAAAGACAATTGAAAGAAAGAGAAATGAGGATTAAATCCTAAAAACTAGAATATATTTTTTGAATTTAAATCCTAAAATTAATTAATTGTCTTTGATCATTTTAATGTAAATTAAGTCATCGATCCTATTCAGGCAAAGCCAGGGTGGGTCACGAGTATAAAATAAAAGTTAACAAAATCCGTGATTTTTCGAAATAATGTCGTTTTCTTAACTCCATCCACTCGAAGCCATGACTATAAACTAGTAGCTAATCAAGCTATAAAGCTGATTCTTCCTACTTGATTCTGTTCTTTTCAGAAGCGATATCAGTATGAAGATAGTCTCGCACTGTGCGAGAGAGTAGCGATAACAGCAATAGTCTATTTGTGATTTTACTGGGCATTATGTTGCATCGTTTTGTTTAAATTAATCCGAATGTCAATCCCAATGTCAGAGTTAACCCGGAGTACCTTCAGCTTTGTAAATTATTAATTTTGGTCCGATCTACGCAGAATGAACTTACTGTGTCTTGAAGTCGTAATTACGATTGGATTTAATAGGTTTTTAGCTCGTGTTTTTTCTAGATTAAAAGTAACCTAAGTTACTACTTATAATATCAGCTTTCTGCCAGTGAAAGTCCCGTCAAAATTAACAGCTATTTCCGAGATTAGTCGGTACAAATAGACAGGCAGACAGACAATTTTTTTAAATGTGGTTATTTATATCTAAATAAAATGCAAATAACCGCCTGGGCTTAATTGAAATCAGTTTATATATTTTTTTCGTATGGTTTACTAACAGTCAACTTACACAATACAATCTTAAATAACAGAAAAGTTTCTTAAGCTAAGTGTAGTGACTACTTATTAGTAAACACAGCATGCAATATAACAATAACTTAAGTGGGTTTTGATTTTACTTAACAAAGTTAACAATTTTAAAAGGAAACAAAATTGTTTATCCGTATGGTAAAAGAGAACACAAGCTGGTTGCACGAAATTAAGTACTAGTTATACTGTCGACAATCTTATTACGGAAACTGTAAGCGATCATTTCATATTACAGATAGATTCTTAAATTTTAGTTCATTGTATTAACTAGCTTTTGCCCGTGACTTCATTTGTTTAGTAGATAGAAATTATGTTTTAGTACCGTATATACTTTCATATGCATTAAGCGAAAAGCTGATATATTGAGATTAAAAAAGATAATTTAATTTTATTTATTCGTATATATTTAAATCTATTGCAACAACATCGTGTCTCTCATCGTGTCGTTACATCGCGGGGGAAGGATCACGCTCGCACAGAACACCACCATGAACTAGCAGCGTAAGGCTGCTTTGTTACATATGATAAGTGAAGAAAACCGCTTTTTATTATAAAAGGGGTATTCCATGTTAGTCCTCAGGAGTGACAATGCACCCGCATTTTGTTTCTTATTCTAGGAAAGAAGTAGATGCTTATGGGCCACAGCATTCACAGCTGGACTGTGTGCACCTTTGTCACCCTTATTTTGTTAAAAAAAATCTTTAAATTCACTCATGCACTAAATATTAATTAAGTACATTAATATTTAGTGCATGAGTGAATTTAAAGATTTATTATTTCTAATTTATGTATTATATATCACAAATTCCCCTGTAAGAGAAAGTTTAATCATAATGACCGCTCTTAAACAGCTCACTAACAAGTCTGCTAATGCGTACCCCTTAGCTTTTATCTATAGATTATAACTTTATAAGCCCCAGAATAAGAAGGAATGATATCCATACGTGGTAGACCCATGCTGCAGCTATATTAGTAGTATAGTTGTAGCACGAATGGGTCGGCTCGACCGAGGAAGGATCACGCTCTCACAGAATACCAGCGTAAAATAGCAGCTTAACACTGTTGTGTTTCCTATAGTGAGTGTAGGGAACCGGAGACCCTTTTTACTGGAAAAGAGGCGTTCCATCTTAGTCCTCAAGGGTGACAGCGCATCTGCATTTTGATTATTTATTGAGGATGGATGTAGATGTCTATGGGTCACAGCAACCACTTACCATCAGGTGGACTGTGTGCTCGTATGTCACCCTAATCTATAGAAAAAAAATCCTTCCTTATTTTTTACTTTACCACATTATAGCAATGCAAAAAATAATTTACACTTACTTACTTATAATAAAAAAAACATTATTTAACTTCATTATTTGTTCACGCTTTTCGCAAACTTGCCCTTTTTAATACTGTACTACAAAGAAGGCGAGTAAACAACAGTTTTAATTTCAACTGAAGCTTACAGGGTATTTATTTTACATGTTTCAATCGTTATTTCACCCCTCTTAATACTGTTATTAACTTTTAAAACTCAAAGCTTAAAGCTGTGGATTTGTACAAAGCTAAGTAGCCAATATTGTCCTCCATAGGTAATTATAACTTGTGTGGTGTCATCGCATGACACACCGCTGACGTAGCGATGGTGGGATCACGGGGGAGAATAGTGTCGGTATTGCAAGGCGCTACTCTCAATAGATAAAATTTAGCCAAGCTGGTGCTTACGGATACTCGTTATTCCAGCCCTAGTAATAAACTAGCGGGGTTAGCCAAGTTCACTTTTTACAATCGTTAAAACGAGTAGAAAACTATAAAATGAATGGGAATGATATATCCGTACGTTTTTATAGTTTTGCATTAGTGTTAACAATTGTAGAAAGTCTATTGACTAACGCCGCATTTATGCTGACCGTCGGTTGAATCGCTGTCTTACAAACCAATCAGTAAACGGCCTAAATGTATACAATATATAAGTGAAGATAAGTCCCAATTCAATGCTTTAAGAAAACCTTACAAAGTGTATTCAATCACCTTGGCAGGTATATTAACCCAAGCCGTTTACTTCAGCTAACAGGCAATTTATTAGGCTTCCGCTTGATTACTAGTTCGTACATCTTGGCTTATCTGAAACCAGATTGACTTTTTATTGAGTTAGTCATTGTTTACTCATTCATTCATTCATTACAGCCTATCAAAATTCCACAGCTGAACATTGGTCCTCCACCTTAGATGGCCTCGTATGGAGGATTTGCCATAGTTGTCCGCTCGGTAAGCGATAACATTTTTTTTATTATTCCCTGTTTTTATTAGGAAGACTCTGCTGCCCGTCTCCTGTTTCAGTTTCCCACTGTCACCTTATACGCCTTTTAAACTCGGGGGATAATATGATGTAGTGAATATACTTACGCCACATTTACACAGCAAGTTAATCTACTGTCACAATTTATTTTTAATTAAGGCGCGTGTTTTTGTTCACCTACACAGACGGACACCTAGGCTCAATAGGAGTCCTACCACAGAGATAGATACATATGCCTAGTAGTGAATGTTTTAAGACTGTTACTTTAATTTTATTAAATATAAAAATGTTAGTTATTTTTATTACCTTTAGACAAAAAACAATTTAATAAATGAGACATAATTTCATATAAAACAACTTACGAAAAAATAGTCTAGTCAGTGTATAATATAACCCTGCCCACTTCTAAGAACGTGTCTTTCTGAAGGATGGCGCTACAATTAAGTTGAAATGTCTATTGACAGCTTGGTTTTGTCATTCTAAGATGTTCTCTAGGATTTTATTTTTACGCTTTGTTTACCTAGAAGAGCACATTTCAACTTACCAAAGTTTTATCGTAGTAGCAAAATTTTTCTATGAACAGGAATGTCGTAATGCAATTATTATTTCAATTCAAAACGTAAACACCGAAAAACGAAAACGTAAGACGTGTGACGCCATAACTCCAGTGCATAGGGAAAAAACATAAAACGTCAAACGTGGTACGATTTTGGACAAATAGTATAATTTTATTTTTCATGTACTATATTTTTTGAGGGTCTGAATTCAACCCTGCTCGTACGCAAGGCAAACGTCAGGCAGAGCGCCGAGCGGTATGTCCTTTCTCTGGAAAGCCTAGCTGCGCGGCGGTCTAATTTCAATTGATACAAACGCGGAATTTTATAGTACTTTTGATTTTTTTATACAGAAATAATAAAGCTATTTTATTCTTAATTATAAATGGTAAGTGTTAAAAAAAGATGTTCTTCTAAAATATTCAGCTATTTTTGTAATAAATTATGTAACATTAATTAGTGGAAATAATCGTTTTATCCACAACATTTTCTTAAAGATTTCACTTGGTTTGAATTTTTAATTTCTTATGTATATAAGCTAAATCAAAATATTTTTCTTCTATTTTCTTAGTAGTAAAAACATAGGTCGTAAGAGGTGACAGAGGAAAATAAATCAGGAGATAGGCAACAGCGTATTCCTAGTATAATCTAGAAAATAGAGAAAGTTCCAACTCGCCTGATAAACGTGGAATCTGTGGCAAATAACACCTTTATGAGGCAATCTAAGAGGAGGTCTATGTTTAGCAATGGACTGCCATTCCATCCATTTTAGCTTTAATAGGGT